GCTAAACCCGAAGAAGTGCACCTTCGGCGTCCAAGGGGGCAAATTCTTGGGCTACATGGTGAGCCGAAGGGGTATTGAGGCCAATCCCGAGAAGATCCAGGCCATCATCGACATGGAACCCCCACGCAATGTGAAGGAAGTTCAACGGTTGACGGGCCGCCTGGCAGCCCTCAACCGCTTTCTATCTAAATCAGCGGAGAAGTCTTTACCCTTCTTCCAAATCATGAGGAAGACGGCTGGTTTTCAATGGACTTCAGAATGCCAGGAGGCTTTCGCCGAGCACAAACGATATCTATCTTCACCTCCTGTGCTCTCCAAACCCAAGGTAGGGGAGACCCTCTACCTCTTCCTTGGGGTCAGCCCGGCGGCCATCAGCTCTGTGCTCATCCGGGAGGAAGACGGCATCCAACATGCCATCTTCTATGTAAGCAAGACCCTAAGGGAGGCCGAGCTCAGGTACTCCCCTGTGGAAAAAACGGTGCTAGCCATCGTTTGGACTGTCAAGAAGTTGGGCCACTACTTTCAGGCTCATACGGTCCAGGTCCTCACTCATCAACCCCTCGGCGCCCTCATGAGGAGCCCCACCAGCTCCTCCCGCATGGTGAAGTGGGCTATCTTCTTGAGCCAGTACAACATTGACATCCGTCCAAGGCCTACCATCAAGGGCCAAGCCCTGGCGGACTTTGTGACGGAATGTACCGCAAGGGCAGCCACAGACGGGGAGCCCTCGGCTACCTCGGACGACTGGTGGACCCTCTACACCGACGGCTCCTCCGCGACCAAAGCATGCGGGGGAGGGGTAGTCCTCATTACTCCCGAGGGCTTCAGAGCCTACTATGCAATCCGCTTCTCCTTCAAATTCTCCAACAACGAGGCCGAATATGAGGCCCTCCTATGTGGCCTTCGGCTGGCTGCCAACATGAGGGCTCGGCAGATCCACATCAAATGCGACTCCAAGTTGGTCGTTGGCCAAATCTCCGAGGAATATGAGGCCAAGGAGGGAAGAATGAAACAATACAAGGAAGCGGCCAAGGAGTTGTTGAAGGTATTTGAGGCACACTCTCTCACTCAAATACCGAGGGCTCAGAACTCCGAGGCCGACATATTATCTAAGCTCTCGGCCGACTCCCCCGAGCACATCTCCAAAATTGCCAAAATTGAGGAACTCAGCCTCTCAAGCATCCATGCAAGCCCCGTTATGAACATACAACAACGCCAAGAGGATTGGATCTCATATCACCGCCTTCATCTCCACAGGGCAGCTACCCGAGAATGAGACCCGTGCTAAACTGGCGAAGCTGAGGGCTCCTAGCTACACCATCGAAGATGGAAGGCTCTACAAACGATCTTACAATGGCACGCTACTTCGATGCCTTCATCAAGATGAGGCCGAGGTCGCAATGGAGGAAGTGCACAGTGGCACTTGCTCAGCTCACCAGGGACCCTTCTCCATGTCCCGAAGGCTCATTCTCCAGGGCTACTTCTGGCCAACCATGGCCAGAGATTGTGCTGACCTTTCCCGGAGGTGCACCGCATGTCAACATTTCCAGAAAGCCCCCGGCAGGCCAGCGGTTAACTATGCCCCCATCAGCACATCTGTCCCCTTTTCTCGATGGGGGATAGACCTTGTGGGCCCTCTGCCGAGGGGTACCTCCAACAACAGGTACATCATCGTGGCCATCGACTACTTTACCAAGTGGGTGGAGGCTGAACCCCTCGCCAGCATCACAGAGGCAAAGTGCCGTCACTTCGTCCTCAAGAACATCCTCACAAGGTTTGGCGTCCCCCAGCAGATCATCTCCGACAATGGGACACAATTTGAGGCAGCCCCCTTATGTGCCTTTCTGGAGGCATGGGGCATCAAACACACCTTCTCCTCCGTTGCCTACCCTCAAGGCAACGGGCAAGTAGAGAATGCCAACCGGACCTTTCTCGAGGGCCTCAAAAAGAAGCTGGAGGCCGAGGGCGGTGGCTGGGTGGAAGAACTCCACAACATCCTGTGGGCCTACCGCACCACCCCTCAGCGAGCAACAGGTGAAACACCCTTCTCCCTCTGCTACGGTTTTGAAGCCAAAGCTCCTACGGAAGTCACCCTTCCCACCCGAAGGGTGATCCAAAATGACCCCGAGGTCAACGACAGCAACATGGCCCTCGACCTCCACCTCATTTCAGAACGCCGGGAGCAGGCCTTCATCCGGGCAGAAATTACCGAAGGCAAGTCAAAAGCTACATCGACGCCAAAGTTCGCACCAGAGAATTCCAAGTGGGGGACTATGTCCTCCGGAGGAGGGAAGCCAGCCAACCAACCGAGGGAGGAAAAATGGCACCAAAATTCGAAGGCCCCTACATCATTGCAGCCATCATCAAACCTGGGACTTACAAGCTCAAACGCCCCAACGGGAAAGAGGTCCCTAGGCACTGGAATGTACACCATTTAGTTAAATTTTACCAATAATGTAAGAGCGGCCAAGCCCTCATAACTAATGAATGTACTATTTTATGGCCCAAGGCCTCCACTTTTGAGGAATGAAGACACATTCAAGACACCACGCCCTCATACTGACTACAGGCCCCGGGCCTCACCACAAGAAGAACCCCCTCCGGCACCAAGTGCCGAGGGCGGACACCATCAACACCTACAACAACAGGAGAACACCATGTGTTTTCGAACAAGACCCCTCGGTACCAAGTACCGAGGGTGGGAACTCCCGTCACCGACGACAAGGAACGCCATGTGTTTTATTTCCCTTCGGCACCCAGTGCCGAGGGTACATCCCCACCTTCAACATCACAAAAGAAAAGATAAGAACACCAAGTGTTCCTACAGAAGAGCCTTCGGCACCCAATGCCGAGGGTGCACCTCCATCATCAACATCAAAACGAAGAAAAACACCAAATGTTTCAAAGAAGACCCCTCGGCACCCAGTGCCAGGGATATGCTCTCCTATCAACTTCCAAACATCTGTTGGGAAACACCAAGTGTTTCCTCCGAGGGCCCTCCGGCACCAAACACTCCAATCAAAACACCAAGTGTTTCATTTGAAGACACCTCCATCAACTGCAACAACAGAGAACACCAAGTGTTCCTACAGAAGACCCCTCGGTACCAAGTACCGGGGGCTACATATCGAAACTAACACCAAGTGTTGTTTCTAAAAGCCGTACCCCACGAGGACGCATATACCGAAGGCGCCACCATCGGTGCCGTCGGCACGTAGTGCCCCCGGCCATTTGCAACTAATGTGCAAATGAAAACCCTTCCTTGAAACGCTTTCCGCGTCACTACCCCCAGGGTATGACAGGCATGAGAAATGCCCAGGATTCGACTTTCAAAAACGGAACGCTATCCGCGTCATCACCCCAAGGGTATGACAGGCACGAGAAATGCCCAGGATTCGACTTCCAAACCGAAACGCTCCCCGCGCCACCACCCCAAGGGTGTGGCGGGCCACGGACTATGTCTAGCGCCGAGGGGACGACTTTCAAAAATGAGGCGCTTTCCGCGCCATCCCCCAAGGGGAGGCAGGTTACAGACCACCATATCGTGTGCCCAGGAAACGACCCTCGATCCCCTCGGAACTCGGAAGGTTAATCTGGGGGAGGAGAGCCATTGGTGTATTCTGATGGCCTCCTAATAGGCCCAGCCTTAGCAAGAAACCAAGTTTCTTGATGCCTTCCCTTCACCACCAACCAAAAAAAGGGGGGGGGGGGGGTGAAGGGGAGTAGACTCGGCGAGAAATCAAAGAGTACACTCCAACAGATCACAACATGCCGAGGGCTCCCCACGGGAACACCTCCGGTAATTGAAGGCTCCTATTTCCCGAAGGATACTACTCAAACAAATAGCATCAAGAAACGGCTAAGTCCACTGCCTGGTCACCTCCGGTCACACAAACACTGAAGGCTTCAAGAATACAAAGGGACTGGACTATCCAAGGTCCACTAAACGGTACTTCAAACAAATACCGAAGGCATCTGTTATGCACTAATACCGAGGGCCCCTACCCCATTACAAGGGACACAACTGGCTAAGTCAGACTCTACAACTTTTTAAAGTGTATGCCGAGGGCACACACTCCTCATTGGCTTTCTTCACAACAACAGGATTCTACACTTTTCCTAAAATCCACACTTTTGGAAAATGACAGCAATCGGAGGTTAATATGTCACCAGACAACCGAAGGCATCTATTACAAATCATCAAAAGCCAACCGAGGGGGACTATTCCGAGATATTTGCCCCTCGGACAGACTCCTCACTGACCGAAGGTCCAACATCTACGACACACTGTGAAATTTTGCTAAATTCCACATATTTGGCCCTCGATCAAATACTCATACAACTCAAGGGCCCCACGATCACCCGAAGGGTCCTATTCATATACCCGGAGGGCTCTACATCCGGAAGCTCAACATCACTTTACGCCCAAAAAATATTCTAAGTCCTAAATGAGTAGCCCCGGGGCATCTCGCAAAGTGATGCAGAGTCAGAGGGCACCTATCACCCGGAGGCGACACAGGGAAGCCGCACTTGGAAAAAATTCTAAGTCCTAAAGATTGAGCCCCCGGCCCAATCAATATTACAGCCAAGGGAATATGATAGCCGAAGGCTATGCAATACAACAGCACTTAGAATAATTTTCTAAGTCCTACATATTCCCCCCCCCCCCCCCCCCCCCCCCCGGTCAACTACTCATACATCAAGAAGGGATGCCATTTCCCGAAGGCTCCCAAGGGAAAAGCTACACTTGGAAATCTTTCTGAGCCCTACATATTTCACCCTCAACTTATAAAGGGACCCAATAGCCGAAGGCTACCTATCAATCAAAGGCTAGAGTACACAAGGAATCAACACTGAAGAAAATATTCTAAGTCCTAGACATACATTCAAAAATACCGAAGGCATACACTCAAGAAAAACGGAGGCATACATTCAAGAAGAAAGAAATTAGAGAAAACAAGCCATATATACGAAGCCTGAAGGTAGACATTCATCAATCGGCAAAAAGAAAGAGTAAATGTGATAGTTACAAAGATGGCCGGGGCCGAAAACATGAGAATGTGATCATTACAAGTGTGTTCAAATTACTAAGTATAAATTACAAATTAAACAGCGTCATTTCCGGGGGCCGCCTCCTCCGATGGCTTCGAGGTAACCTCTGCATCGGCCTCAGGTTCGTCACCCTCGGCTTCCTTCATGAGCTCTGTATCCTCTAGGTCCGGCCTCTCGACATCGGAGGGGAGAGGAACGCGGACGTCTGGCTGCAGGGGGGAGCCCGTATGCCGCCGGGTCGAAGTCCTTTGGCTCAATCTTCAAGTGGCGAGCCATCCTCCGATAGATGAGGGCTTGGGTGAAAAACTCGCCCCAATCATAGTATTGTTTACCCTTTCGGGAAACCCACTCCACACCAGGCCCATCGCACCACTCGTCAACTGAGGACTCGACGACCGAGGACAGCCATTGCTTGTGCTCCTCGGCCCGCCACCCCCCCTGCCAAGAACCCCGAGATTGCGTCCCCTCGGGCTCTCTCGACGGCTTCCATCTTCGCGGTCTCGGCCTCCCTGGCAGCTCTCTCCAAAGCCTCAGCTGCGGACCTCTCAGCCCCCGCCCTGCCCCGATCTGCGGCCTCCACCCGCAGGGTCATCTGCCGAAGGCTCTCCTCCAGCATAGCCATCTGCCGGACAACATCAGCATTCTGGCGGATGAGCTCCCGCATCTTAGCATCCTGCTCAGCCTTGCGAAGGCGCCACTCCTCTAGCCGCCGGGCCTGCTCCCCGAGGGCAATGCAGGTCTACAAAAACAAAGGAGTTAGCAGGCCCGATCATGGTTGCTTAGCTCAAAGTAAAGAAGAAAGATATAACCATCGAAGACTTACCGTGAGGGAAGACCGGAGGATCCTGTCCTCGAGGGCTTCATCTTCATCAGCCCCGAGGGCTACTCTGTCAATCTCGAGGGTTATGCCTCTCAGAAGCGCCCTCGGGTCAGCCGTGCCGTTCATCACGGCCGTACCAGCCGGGAGGGAAACCATGAGGACCTCGGAAGATGGCCCCTGAACACCCGACGGCACTTTCGCCACCGGCATCTCCTCATGCGCCCCGGAGGCGGGGCATTCATCAACAATGATCACCGGGGGGACTTTCTTCCCGACATCCCCGGTCTTGGGCTTTTTGCCCTCGGGATCTCTGCCCGTGCCCTTCCTTTTGGCGATGGCAGTCGCGTCAGCACTTGGGCCCGCCGATGGCCCCTCCGGCTTCTTGAAAAAGTCACCGGCGGGTTTCGGGACACCAGCGTCCGTCCCCCTCGGGCCCTTGGAAGGTTTTTTCTTCTTCAGGTCCGCAAGGCCTTTGACGTTCATCATTTTCACTGGGATACCTGCAAAAATAGTATGGGGTTAAAATCGAGGGGTTACTAACCGAAGGCACAAGGAATAAAAAAACGAACAGATAAACTATGTGCTAACATATGAAAACCAAGGGCCCTCGTAGACTACCTCCTGCTCCCCCGAAGGCCTCAGCAAAAATGGGATACTTCTCGTCCGCTTCCCCAATGAAGCGGTATCTCCGAAAGCCGAGGGCGTAGAGTCCCTTATCGGCAGTGTAGTCTTTGATAGAGACCTGCTTCGTGCGACCCTCCAGGATTTTGGCTATCACCAGGCCATCTTTCTCGAGAGCGGCGCTTCCAACCTTCGGATGCCGACGGAAGCGATCCCGAAGTTCCGCCGGAAATGGGTTCTCAGCAACTCTGACATAGCACCAGCGCTCCTTCCAGCCCTTATTGGACGAAGGCGCCTCCGTAAAAAGCTTCCACTTGGCTACCTGCTGCAGGTTGGCGAAGCCCTCGGCATTCGCGTGACCCCCTCGATAGAGGTTGAAGCTCTGGAAGAACAAGTCCAGGCTGGGGGTCACCTCTCGGTCCCTACAGAGGTTCAAAAAACCCGCCATGTAGGAGTGGCTATTAGGTGTCAGCTGGCAGGGTACCAAGCCAACAAACCTCAGGTACTCCCGGAGGAAGGGGTGCAGAGGGAACCGAAGGCCCATGGAGACCGACAGTACGTGTACTGCAATACACCCCTCGGGCGCCCGGGATAGCACGTCGTCAACTCCCGGCTCGACCACCACAGCCGAGGGCCCTACGTGTAGCTGCGTGACGTAGAGGTCCGCCCTGTCCGCCTTCGACTTTATCTCCAAGGCAGCAGTATTGAGCCAGGAATACCCCTGCGGCATATCTACGGGTTTCCCCTGATCAACAGCAACAATCTTCTTCTTGGGGGCAGCTGCCTTGGCCTTCTTCTTCCCGGGGGCCACCCGGAGGGGAACAACGTTCAGCGGCTGAGAGGTACTGGCCTCACCAGCACCCCGAGGGGGAAGGACGGCCACAGTGACCTTCGCCCTCTCCTTTTCTTCCTCCTCCTCTGCAACTTGCATGGCGAGGGCCAGCTCTTCGTCTTCAACCTCCTGCTCGAAGCCCTCGGCTTCAACTTCAGCCAGCAGCTCCTTTTGCACCTCTACTGCCATCACAACGTCCTCCTGGGCCGAGGACTGTTCGTTTGAGGACTCCATATCCGAAAGAACTTCATCCTCCATCGAGGGCGCCCTCGAGATGTCCTGGGAATCGCTCTCGGACGACATTTTTTATCACGAAATGTGCCTAAGATTTCGAAGGCTTTCTACGGGACTCTAACCCTAATCTAAGGCCAGAGGGCGGAACTTACTAAAAGTTTTGAGAGGAAAGCAGGACACTGACCTTGAAAGCTGAGTTTTGACCGAAGGCTTGAGTTTCTCTCTCTAGAATTTTTGGCAGAGCTTCGCTAAGGATGTTGGATGCGTAAAGAAGGAATGGCATTGGCTTGGGGTATTTATAGGCTCCCAGATCCGGGCTTGGGCCGAGATCCGGGCTCCCAGCAGCCAAAACCATCATTACGCACCGTCATTTCACCCAACCGGTGACGCCCGCCCACGAGCAGCCAACGGCTACACTCCACGTGTACCCCCCCAACGACTATAAATCTGACGCTACGTATTCCAACGGCTATATTTCCAACGGCTATATTCTGGAAGCCCCCGAGTTTACTACTTCACTCCACTTCACCAAGGAGAGCCTCCGGGTACACTTACCCAGAGACACCCCCGGTTTATGCCCCGTACGGTACATAACAATCGCCCTCGGGATCACTCCTTTAGAAGCCCAAGGCTTCACATCAGGCCACCCCTCGGGGATTCCCCCTCAGCACTGTAAGGGCCGGTTAGCCCCTGGGGAGTATACCTCATTGACGGATAGTCTACAGCACACAGGTAATGGGTGCCCTCGGGTATCGTCATCACCAACTAATCAACAAACAGTGGACCCCCCGGTAACAACTCCACTGCTACCCACATCCATCATGCCCTCGATCCCCAGATTGAGGGGCTTCCCTTCGGCACCCCCAGGACATCAACAGCAAGCCTTCGGCTAATCAACACATGAGCCCTCAGAAGAGAGCCTTCGGCATTACCGTTATTCTCCATTTTTGACCAAGGTTTGACATTTTCGATTCATCGTTGGGGGAATTCGGTGCACTCTTTTTCTCCTCATTAGGATTTTTTCCCACAGGGTTTTTCCTAATGAGGTTTTTAACGAGGCATCCCCCCCAAAATGAAATGAAAAGCGTCAGCCTTCGGCCCACAACAGCAACGCAACTACTCTACTCCTTTTCACCACTTTACAAGTGCCTCAAGGAGTGGGGGACTGGAGAACCCCCTCGGGAAAATCATTAAATTACAAAATTGGTGAAAAATTCAAAACAAACGGCAAAGAAAGCCCTCAAGTCCCGACATGTGGGTAACTGAGGGAGTGCCTTCGGCAGGGACATAAAAGCAACAACTCCTCACCAAACTACAACGGAGAAACATCAAATGACAGACACAGTTTACTCCTTTTCCCTCAAGTACCTTTCGGCAAAAGGAGTGAGGGACTCCTGATGGAGTATATGGCCCGGGAACCCCCGGCCCATAGACTCCTACTACTCCTGTAAAGGCCCAACAGGCCCAGAAGGCCCAAATCACAGCGCCCAGAGTACCAAGCAGCCCACAAAGCGCACCAAGGGTGCCTTCGGCCCCCCGGCCGAAGGCTCTAAACTCTCACAGAATGGGTTTTCCAAGCAAACTAAGAAACTGGGAGAAAAACGGCAGAAAACAGTAGCCCTCGGCATCTGGAGCCCTCGGCACTCAGGGGTCCTCGACACCAAGGGCCCTCGGCTAGTCCTCTGCAGCCGAGGGCACCCCTCCCGACATGATATCCGCCTCACATGCGTACAGATCACCGTACCCTGTACCGACGTCCCATCCAACAGCCGCATTAAATGCGGCCACATGCGGCTGCCAACGCCAACCAGTTGAGGTGACCTCTCGGCCAATAGGCGCTTGACACGGTTCCCTGTCCGGCATTTATTGCTACTATAAATAGCACCCAATTTCCCCATTTGTAACCACGACATTCAGACTGAATACACTCTCTCTCTTACTTACTTGTGCTCTGACTTCTCTCTAAGTTATTCTCAGCAATAACCCCTCGGATATATACCCCCCGGGTAGACTATCCATCAACCGGTAATCCCTCTTAACCTTGAGATTGAAAAGCTCGCCAGACAAAACCGCAAGGCTCAAAAGGAAAAGAATAACATGGACCACCAGTCTTCATCTGGAACCGCAAGGATATCGGGTAACCCTAACCCCACATCTCAGCAAGATTTCTATGTGAACACGTCACCCCAATCTTCACCATCAATTTCACCTAGAAACCCTCTAGGTTTTCAAAATTACCGCACTCCGATTTTTTCCCAAAATCAGCCTTCACCACAATTTAATCTCCCTCCATTATTTCATCTCTTTCAAAATACCCCTACTACTCCTGAAACCAATTTTCAAAATCAAGTTTATGGGATGCAAGGAGCAGGGCAGAGTATTCCCGTTTTCCAACCGAGACAGAACCCACCTCCAATCAATCAACCTACATTCGAGAATCAGACCGAGTACCAAAATCCATACCCCAATCAATTTCAAAACCAAACCCAAGTCCCACCTACTCAGCCACAACCAGCCCCTCAACCTAGACATCAGGAGCCTCCACCCAATCCATATATACCGCACAACAATCCACTCTATCAGCGTCAAACCATTGCAGAGTTCCTTACACCAAACGTTTCAGAGTACGATAGCATTCAAGTGCCGGGAATTACTGCCAACCGTTACGAGATCAAGCCGGCGGTGATAAGCATGGTATCCAATAATCATTTTGGAGGAGGCCCTACTAAAGATCCAGTGGCGCATATTACCCGTTTCCTGGGGATGTGCCAGACATTCAAGATACCTGGGCTTACTGATGATATTCTAATTAAATAATTAATTAAAAAAGAGGTTCTGAACCACAATTGTCTGGTTCCAAACTGGAATCGAATGTTGGTTCTGAACTAGGGAAATCGAATCGGACTTGTACACCTTTGATTTCAAATCGGAAGTACTATGCGGTACCGGTTATGGTTTTGGTTCTGGTTAAAAAAATTGGCGATTCGAGTTTCAATTTCGGTTTAACTGAAAACTGCGGAAGTCTAGATGGAGGGAGTACTTTATTTAGATTTGATATAATCATTTATGTGTCGAGGAAAGGTACAAATATACCCCTGTATTATGGGTGTGAGAAAATATATACTTCGTATCACTGTTCTATTTTCTGGGACAAATATACCTCTGAAGTTTATTTGGAAATACATATATACCTTTGAACTTTGAAAATGTGCAAAAGTAACTCTCATGTTCTTCTAAAAGAGCAAATTTACTTTTATTGACTCAAGTAAATAAAATAAATTTTGAAAAACACCAAAAATAAATTATATATTCGAATTTAAAAAAAATTAAAGAGTTAAAATAATAAAGATTTGTTTTTATGATAAAATAGTAACTCTTTAATTTTAAATTACAAAATTATTTTTTTCCAATCGTAAATGAAGTACTTCAAATGCGTAAATATTCATTTAGTCAAGTGAAATTTTGAACACATTGTTCCTTTTTTGAAATACTATTATTTGATTTTGTTTAACCTAAATAAAACTAAATAAACTATTTTGTAATCTTGTACTATTTATCATCACACAAAATTGTAATTTTATAGTGCAAAGAATACGAAAATTGAATGATTGTTTACATTGCAACACATATGCTAACACTTTTCCGAAAGAATCTTTAATATATAGTTATATAGTAAAGTTTTTTAAATTATATTTTATACTAACAATATAAAATTTTGATTTAAAAGTAATAAAGGGGAGAATTGGACATAAGTAGATTTTTTTTCAATATCATCTTTATAATTAACTTTTGATGTTTTTTGAAATTTATTTTATCTATTTAAAGTCAATAAGCGTAAATTTTCTCTTTTACAGGAACTTGAAGAGTATCTTTACACCTTTTAAAAGTTGAGGCGTATATATGCACTTCTACATACACTTCACCGGTATATTTGTTCCAAAAACTAGAAAAGAAATATATTTGTTCTCACTCCTATACTACAAGAGTATATTTGTAGCTTTTGTCTTATTTTGATGGCAAAATTGACATTAATAATCTCTACTATTAAATCGGGAGTTAATGGTGTCAACTTTTCCGTTTAGTTTTTTGACGAAATTGATACCAATAATCTCTACATTTACGTGTTTTACAAAAGTATTCCCTGCTAGAAAAGTTTACAATGATAATCTCAACTATTTAACTGTTTCACAAAAATAAATCGGGAACTAACATTGTTAACTTTTGAGTTAATATTTTTTTAAGTTGTAAATATGAAGCAGAAATATATATAAGCATTAAAAATATTTTATTTGAGTTTAATATTATTTGCACTATAAATTTAATTTAATATTCAATTTTTTTCATTAACATTAATAGAAATATTTCTACTTTAAAATTCTATAAAATTTGTAAGAAATATTTCTACGTAGATATCTCTATTTAATTTTAATTTCAATTAAAGTTATGAAAAATATTGAATATTAAATAAAATTTATAGTAGAAATAAGATTAAACTGAAAAAATGTTAATGCTTATACGGATTATATATTTTCTTCATTATATTTAAAATTTTAAAAAATTAACTCAAAAGTTAATACTGTTAGCTCCCAGAGTATTTCTATGAAACAATGTAGTAGTCGAGATCATTATTGTAAACTTTTCTATTAGGAATTATTTTTGTAAAATACGTAAAAGTGGATATTATTAAGGTCATCAATTTTGATTTGCCAAAAAATTAAACGAAAAAGTTGACACCGTTAACTTGCGATTTATTTTTGTGAAACAGTTACCTATTTAAGATTATTATATTGTTGCCAACTTTGTCATATGATTTATTTTTATAAAATGTTCGATTATACATTATAGATGTGAATTTCTCCTATTTAGATTTGATATGAACATCTATACGTAGTATGTGACATGACATAAAGTGGGTTGTCTAAATGTGATCTAAAGAATTACTCGTACTACGTACTTAGATCAGTTTGAATAGATTTTTCAAATAATCCGTATATCATACTCCATTATCTTTAAATAATCTCCGAGGTACGTACTTAGGTAGTACTAGGTACCTAATATTACTTCTATTCTCTTTTAATTGCAATATTCTTTTTTGTACTATTTAAATATTTTAGTTTGACTATATTTTTTTTATTAATGTATTATAAATTTAATTTTACAAAAATATTGTTAAATTTTTCTCATTTTAAATTTTCAAAATCTGATTTTTTTAACTTTTTACTAATAAGAAAATGTCAGATATTAACGACTGAACTTGTGCATTGCGAAACATGAAAAATAGACGGGTGCAATTAAAAAAGAACGGAGGAAATATTTGGTAGAGAACAATTTCAAAATTAAGACCCACCTGTACAAGATTAATTACTAGTTCAGACCATCAATGGATGAAGTAAAACATATAGGGGCAATAAATAAATAAGTTGAGGTAAGGAGTAAGGACGATGAATGGGCAGATGGTGAGGGGAAGTAACAGGGCCGGTCCTGTCAAGTTTTAGGCCTATGGACGATATACTATTTTGGCCTTACTTCTAAGACAAACAAGAAATTATACTTATTTAAAGTAAAAATTATGGAGTATAATAAAACTATGAGCAATTACTCTAAATAGGACTAAAAACGTGTGTATATTCCAAATTAAGATCATCATATTTTTATTACCTAAATAGAAGTAATTACTGTCATAATTTGACAGTATCATTACACATGGTAGTATTTTCCAAACATCACAGTAAGACTCCTATTTAGATAATAAACACATGACCGTCCTTTTCTGGAATATATTCTCAAAAAAAAAAAGTTACTCCTATTTCAGGATTTTTCCCGACAACTATCAAATAAAGATTATAAAATAAAGATGAAATTCACCTTCATATTATTTGAAATACATATTTGGACACAACTATCACAAAAAAATATTGTGTAGTAAAATCATCAATAATTGCTTTGTAATCAATATTTTCCAAGATCACATGTGCAATGTTTAAAATTGCTAATTCATTAAGTTTTTTTAGGCATAATAGATTGTTGGGATGATGTTTGAGAATTGGAAGGCACTCGCAGTCCAAAGACAATAATATAATTTGGTAATATTGTAATAAAAAAAATAAAAAGTCTTAAAGGCTAAAAAGATGTGAAAAGACGTGTTTTTAGTGATTCAACAACAAATGTGTTGACTGATAACCAACTCTATTTAAAAATCAAAACTAAATTTACATTATTTTTTAAAACTTGTCCAGCTCCATTCAAGACTTTTTACTTATGTTTTAAAATTATCAAATTATCAACAAAAATTACACATCAAGCCTAATTAATTAATTGAAATTATAAATAAAAAAAGAAGCTTACTCATTTCATATAAAGAACAAAATTTGAGCCTAATTTTCTTTTTACTTTGTTTCGGGCCTAGAGCAGTCGCCTCTGCTGCCCTCCCCCTAGGACCGGCCCTGGGAAGTAAAGAAGACTGCACCTATGAAATCAGTAAGAACCCGGCCGTTGGAGAATCTGCCGGCAGGTCTGCCCGGAAAAGTGGTGTCGTACGGTTTCTTCCAACAGTCGTCGGTATCTGGGCTGTTGCCAGCATCGGCATAGGAGTCTCCGAAAATGAACAGCTTTGTAGGGGATGATGATACCTCAATCCTCTCGCCATTGTACACTTCTGCGGTTATATATTATCAGTAGTGGTGGGGGTAGAGAAGCGATTAGCTATATTACAGAGTGAAATAGAGGGAGGAATGGAAGAAGTAATGTTCAGTGATTGATTCTCCGACCTGGAAAAAGAGTCAAAAGACATAAGAACAAGAAGAAGAAGGCTGAACTCAATCTTGCTTTCTTCTCCATGCTAATTAAGTGAAATGTGGATGTTTGTCCCCGGCCATCATATTTATTAGGAGTGGATAAATCGGTTGGATTTGATGAAAGGGAACCGTACCAAATAAAAAAAAAACTCAATCCAAATCAATCGAGAAGGTGAATTCGTCCACCGACAAACACGCTACCACACTCCGATCCGATAAAATGGTGAAGGGGTTAGTTACAATCTCAAAAGATTTCTGACTGGGGTTGTTCAGAACCAAGTGCACACAAGAAGCCACTATATTCGATGAAACTCTCACTCAGTCACTGTTGACTCAATACAAATCAAATGGGAAAGTTCCCTAAATAAAACTAAAACAGTTTGAATATTTTAAAATATGATTCTCATGTTTTTTATTCCCGTAATAGAAGTAATTACTGTCAAGTTTAGAAAATACTGCCATGTTTGAAGTCTGGTACTGCCAAAACATGGCAGTAATTAGTCTTATTTTGATAATAAAAATATGACAGTCCTATTTTGGAATTTTCAAATCTTTTTAGTCCTATTTCGGGGTAATATTCTCAAATCAAATCATATGTAATTCAATTTAAATTTGGTAGTATTAATAGTTGCGGGTTTTGGACAATAACTTGAAAGTTCAAATTTATTTTATAAATTTCGAGTATTCATATACATATATTCTGTATAAATTTTTAAACAACACTCATATACATTTTTCTTTACACTCCAGGTTAAAAGTGTTGGGTTCTCAAAAGAACCATTTTGAGAAGGCATAAGTCCGCCGCTAAGAATTAGCAGACCAAATTAAATCAAAACTACTAAAAATCGAATAAAACCTGATGAAGTATATGGACTTCGACCCCTGATCTGCTTAATATTAGGCCTGGACAACGGTTCACGTACACATAGCAGATGCAATTTATATTATTGTACAGTTTACTAGACTAGCCTTTTATGTTATCAGTCCTTTTATGTAACCGGGTTTGTCAGGCCCATATTAGAGGCGGAGACCCAAATTTCCCTATATATACTCCTTTTTGGAGCTTGTAAACATAACTCACAATTCATTCAACATTATACACATTCTTCTTCTCCATTACTCTTCTTGATCATTGTTCAATCTCTTCATAGTTATAGTATATGATATCAATTATCCAACAATGGTGAACCGTCGGCCGTAGTTTCCAGATTGGGATCTGCAACTTCTGGATTTGGAAGAAGCGAGCCTTGCAAGCTAAGCCCCTCCACCAGACCCCGGCGTACACCAACGCACCCGCAGTTCGCTCTACCCAGTCGCTTCACCGACCGGCTCTCTCCCCTCGCTCGTCAGCTGATCGCATTACCGGCGTTCGCTTCTTCCACCTCAATTAGAGCATCCCTGGACGCCACTGCAGCTCGCTCCTTTCCGTCTGGCGACAGCCCTGGGCGAAGGTTGCTCTTTCTTCTCCGACGACGACCACGGAGACCTGTCAGGCACAAGCTTCGAGAACACCTACTCTCTGGCCGGTGGTAACCGGATCCGGTCCTCCCTTCTCCGGTTGGAGCCAAGGCGGCGGGTCAGGGGATCCGCGCTCCTTTTTTCTCTCTGTGGACACTCCAACGGCGGATCAGCATCTCTAAGGGCAGCAGTGGGTCAGGCCTGAGTTGATCCAAATAAATAGTTCTTTGGGCCACAATCTCATCAACATATTTCATTCCAAGCAGTCTAATATTTCAGCCTACTTCAAAGAGATTACTCTTTAATTTTTATATTATTTATATTTATTTAAATCATTTTTTTGTTAGTTAAATGTCACACTATCATGTACTTATGATCAAATGCCTAGTAGAATGTGACTTGAGACCCATCACTAGGTGATAGAGTATTAACTCCTAGATTCTAGAGAGAGGTGAGAGCTAGAGAGAGAAGTGCAATAATATGCTTCAATAGAATGAATTTGTAACCCCTATAACTACTCCCAAGGGGAGTATTTATAGAGAAAATTAGGGTTGGGCTCCCAAGCCTTGGGCATGGGAGGCCCATTTACAACTGGACTGCTACTGGGCCGAATACAAAGCCTCTAATGGGTTGTACAAATGAGTAAGTGTAGAATCCGTTTCTGGGAGGTCTTCGTGGCCGACGAGGGCGTGGCCGACGAGGGCACGGCCGACGAGGGCACGGCCGACGAGGGCACGGCCGACGAGGGCACCCGAGTTCCTTGGGTTCAGGACCGTAATCTGAGTTGGCCCCTTTTCGGCCGACGGGGGCGTCTTGGCCGATGAGGGCGCCACTCTGTTGTCTTGTGCTCTGTTCTTCCGAGTATGTGGGTCCTGGAGCTCAGACCCATATACTCCATCAGGAGTCCCCCACTCTCTAAGCTGAAACGTAGACGAAGTGAAGGAGAGTAGATTTCTGTGCTTTGTTGCTTTTGGCCGACGTGGTCATTTCCAGGCCGTCAGCCGTTGCGGTATTGGCGTTGTTTCCATTTTGGTGATCCTGTTATGGGCTTTGGCCGTTACCTGCTCCTCGCTGTGGGCGGGGAGGCCGTTGTTTCCTTAATTTGTTTTGGGACGATGAGTGTCCTTCTTTCAATGGTGGCCGTTGAAGGCGCGCTTTCCCTTTCCTGGACGTTGGTGGTTGAAGTTTATGTTTGGGCCGGTGTAGCCGTTGAGGTTGTTCCTTGCTTTGAAGACGATGGCCTCATTTCCTTTGTGTGGCCGATGAGGGTGTTTGCGCACTCCTTTTGGCCGTTGCTGGTTGGCCTTCGTGTTTTTGGCCGAAGAGCCCGTCAAGATTAATTGTTGGCGGAGGACGATGAGTGTCCTTGCCTCTAGTGGCTTGTTGGTCGTTGCTAGTGGCGTTATGGGCCTTTGGCTGATGAAGTTCCGTTGTGCTGTATGGATAATGTGGCCATGTTTTGTGGTTACTTTGTTCGCACTCTTTTGTTTTGTTGAGGCCGGTATAGTCCCCCAGTCCCCCACTGCTTCAGACCGAAGAGTGTGAGGGGTGAAGGAGTTGTTTAAGTCCCTGGCCGAAGCGGTCTCGCCGTAGTCCCCCTGAATCCAACTTTCATGGCGATTTTCTGGCCAAGGTAACCCTGTGGGAGAACCCTTGTGCGCAGATCACTTGTAGAGAGTTATCATCAAGGGTTGTTACGAGGAGCCGGAGGCTGTGGGCTATTTGTCCCCTTTGTTCTGTGGCCGTTACGTACCTGGCCGTTGCCATCTTCTTATTGTTTGGCATTTGTGATCTTGGTGAGCAAGTGGGACGTTGTGGGCGCTTGCTGGCAGTGCTAAAGCCGCTGAGCGTGTGTAGGCCGTAGAGTCTGATTTGCCAGTGGGCCGTTGATGTGGCTTGGGCCTGGCCCGTTGGTGTCGTGGTGGCCTCCCATTGGTGGCCGTTGATGTGGCCATTGGGAGAGTGCCACGTGTAGTGACCGTTGGTGGGGGGGTCTATAAATACCCCTTCCCCTCCGACGAAGAATCACATTTGCATTCTGAATTTGTCGAAGTGCTGGCCGATTTTCTAGAGAGAAACTCCCAAGCCTGTTCTTCGTGTTCTTCGTTGTTTGAGGTTAGTGTTCATCACGATCTTCCTCACTTTTCATATTTTGCTCCGTAAGTAGTTGATCTAGTGTTAGGCGTTTAAACACCTTTAGATCGTAAGTTGTTCTCCTTAAGCCCGTAGTAGTAGTAATGAAGAGTTTGAACGAGGACTACTACCCCTACGACGACCAGCCCTCCACAAGGTCCCTTGACTACGAGGTGCTCGAGGAGTTTGAAGAGGAGATAGAGCGTTTAAGCCCCTACAAATCCGAAGAGCTGGTGGGCGAGGAAGGCGAGGACGAGGAGTCCGCCTCCTCCTCAGAGGGTGAGGACGTAGGCGCGTCCCGAGCGGTGGACGGGGCGTCCACTTCTGCTGCCGTTCCGTGCCCGAGGCCGGTGTCTGCCGTGAAGGGAGCAGCTAAGCCGAAGAGGGTGAGGAGGCCGAAGAATGGGTCGGGCCTCTCCTACCTGGACCTCACCAACCTATGCCTGATCAAGCCGGAGAGCAGTGCGGTCGACTATCTTGTCGCCCAGATGTACGTGGGGCCGTACGGGCGGGTTAGGGCACCCAGGCCGACGGACCATGTTCTACTTCCGCCACCGGGATACTTTGGAGTATACCCGATGAGTTTTGCTAAGGGGTTGAGGTTCCCCCTTCACCCTTTCGTCACTGAGTATCTGGACATGGTGGGGCTTCCTCCGGCCTTGCTGACGCCGAACAGTTATTCCTTGATAGTGGGCTTCTTGCTTCGGTGTGAGGAGTTGGGCTACAGGCCGACCACGGCCTTATTCATGAACTTGTACCAGATCGGCCGAGGAAGCCACAAGAATTGTGCGGCCTATGCTACTCTTCAACAGTTGCCGAGGAAGAGGAGCTTCACGGATTTGCCTACGTCCATTCATGGGTGGAAGAGCAAGTTCGTGTTTGTGTCCATTGGTGAGAGTGGCACCGAGTTCCCCTCCCTCGGCCATACCGGGAGGTTCAATCTTCATGACCCGCCGAAGAGCTCTATTTTGGACGCTCAGGTGGAGGCTTTCCTGGAAGGGGGGCCGAGGAGCGTGAAAGATTACGTCACTGAATATAAGATGACGGCCCTCGGCTTCTTCAGATATCACTTGTATGGAGATGAGGAGGATGACCTCCAACTCTGGCCGAGGATGACCACCACCTTTGAGGAGGCTGATGGCCCGGATTTGGGCATTCCTGCTGAGGCCGACGGTAATTTTTCTTCGGCTTTCTGTCTTTACGTTTTGTCCTTTGCCTTACTAATCTGTTTGTTTTTTCTTTGTAGACTTTGTCATGGACCGACGCTCCATAATGGCCGTTGCCAAGGCCAAGGCGGCCGAGGAGCTGGCTGCTAAGGCGGCCGAGGCGGCCCGACGTGCCGCTGCTGGTGGGAGCGGGGCTACTGCTGACGCGGCCCCAAAGCCTGCCCCGTCCAAGAAAAAGAGACCGGCCACTGACGGCCAGAAAAAGTTGACCGAGGCCGGCGTGAGCGTCTCTAAGAAGACGAAGAGGGCTCCTTCCCCTTCTCCGGCTAGTGAGGCCGGTACGCTTACTGTCCCCAGCGTGGGCGAT